GCGACAGGGACCCGGTTTTACTAGTACCTTCTGGAGGGAATTGTTTCGATTACATGGTACCACCTTAGCTTTTTCTTCCGCTTGTCATCCTCAATCAGGTGGTCAAACTGAGGTGGTGAACCGAACGATCGAAATGTATCTCCGTTGTTTTGTTGGGGATCAACCGCGACGGTGGGTTGATTGGCTTCCTTGGGCCGAGTATTGTTATAACACTGCCTATCATTCTTCCCTAGGAATGACACCCTTCCAGGTCGTCTATGGCCGTGAACCTCCTCGTTTGTTGTCCTATGAACCTGGTTCTACTCGTTTGGAGGTGATTGATCGTTCCCTACAAGAGCGAGATGCTCTTCTGGTTGAAGTTTCTCTTCGCTTACAACAGGCACAACTACGCATGAAGCATGCCTATGACTAGCATCATCGGGAATTGTCATTTGAACCTGGGTTTGTTTGGTTGAAGCTTCAGCCTTATCGATAGCGCTCCTTGAGTCACAGGGCTGCTCCTAAATTAGCTCCTAAATTTTATGGACCTTTCAAGGTTTTGCGGCGAATCGGTACTGTTGCCTAGCAGCTCGAACTGCCATGATGTTTTCCACATTTCCTTGCTCAAGCCGTTTAAGGGTACTTCTCCTGTCAGTGTTCCCCGCTTACCACCCTTGAAGGAGGGCAAACTCATTCCCCAACCTCAAGCTATTGCTCGCTCCAGAATTAATCGAGGTGTTATTGAGGTCCTGGTGGAATGGGCCAGCTTACCATTAGCCAAAGCTACCTGGATCCCTTTGACTGAGTTTCAAGACACATATCCGGGTTTCGAGCTTGGGGACAAGCTCTTAGTCCGGGAGGGGAGTAATGTTGTGGACGCTTTTATTGGGAAGCAATATCGCCGCCGACAGCAGCAGTAAAGGGTGCAAGATTCAATGTTCTCATCTTATCTAGCTAGATATAGTTCTATCTTATCTGTTCAGTGTTCTTATCTTATCTGTTTTCAGTAGGATGGATTAGTAGGGAGTCTTATCTATTCAGTGTTCTTATCTTATCTGTTTCTATCTTAGCTAAATTCAGTAGTATAGATTAGCAGGGAGTCTTCTTAAAAGTAGAACTCTTATCTTCTTGTAATCTCCTATTTAAAGGAGCTGATGATTCAATAAAGGCATCGAAATTTCTAGTTAAGAAATAGCAAAGGAGAGGGGGTGATCTCTTTAATAATCACCATTAAGACGCTAAGATAGGTTCCTCAAGAAAAGAGAGGAACAAGGGGAAATAGGAGGTTTTCCCCGTTGGCCGACCTGTGACGAGATCCTATTCGCGGGCCCTTAACAGTTTCAGACTAATAGGGATTTAAAAGAAGAACTAAAGAAAAACCTAAAAAAAAATTCAGGAGAAATCAGAAAAGAGCAACTGCTTTTCCCTTATCACTCTGATCAATTCTTGATTGGAGTCGATCTCAAGAAAACTTGAATCTTACCCAGAAAACACTGGCCGCCACTTCCAATCCTCAATCTAAACCCTAATCTCGAGTTTCTTTCCTTTTCCCTGATTCTTCCTGATCACCGAACTCTTTCCAAGACTCCAAATATCTCTTGAAAAGGTGTTGCACTCTACCAATGATCTCCAAGAACCAGTCGATTGCCAAATCTTGCTAAAACTTCCAACCCTAGGAAGTTCTCATGCAGTCGACCTGATTAGACTCTCATGAGAAACCCTAGGTTGGCTCTGATACCAACTTGTCTAGTAGAGGCTGAGATCAGCACTACTCTAGATGAGAATTCAAAACAGAGAATGGAATAGGGAGAGAAAGAGAGAGGAAGAGAGATGACGAAGAGAAAGATTTCAGAGAAGAGAGTGAATAGGCTTGCTGCCCCACTCAGTTATATATATAATAACTCAAAAAAAAACACACTTACAATATTGCCCCTACTAACATAACATGTCAGCAACTAAAAATAATAACAGAAATAACTAACTTAACTTACTGACACTAACAGCAATATAAATAAAGACATTACTGCCCTACAACAACTCTACACTCAAGTTTTTGCACTCCTTAACTATCTCCTCAGAGCTCAAAAGCAGCCCACAACTTCCCCTCCAACCTCATCTCCTTCCAAGAATTTACTTTTCAACAAAAAGAACTCCTTGCAACAATGACTGGCAACTCCTGCCCTTATGCGAACTTCTAAAACTCAAGGTATCACCTTCCCCAAGCTTTGGAGATCCTGTCAATAATATGAACAGTAGTCTAGAACAACACTGAAACCCATCTCCTATTTGGATTATTTATTCCGGAGCTACCAATCATATGACTGGAGCCTACTCAGGACTCTCAAACATCAGTATGTATAATTTCAAATGGAGAAGTAGCATGATCAGATTTATGAGAAAAAGGCAAAGTATGGCTCTTACTCAAACAACATGAAACACATGAAGTATCAAAAGTTTGCAAAGAGAGAATTTTGTTTCTTACGAAACCAGAGTCAAACAAAAACTTTAATTTTTCAAAATGTGGATGACCCAAATGCTTATGTCATTTCCCAAACACTATTTGAGGCCAGGTGGATTGTGGCTCGAGTGGGTTTCAACATTTGAGCCTCGATTAATTAGGGATTTTGGAACCGATTGTCCAAGTCATCGCCAGATAAAAGAAGAGGAGTTATTTTTAAAAGGAAGAGAGTTTTGAAAATTAAAGAAAAAAAAGGAGTATTGGGTCAAGGAGAGCTCGAGAGATGACGAAGAGGGTAAGAAGCAGATCTTTGTTGGTTTTGTTGAGGTGTCACCTTGCCAACTTTTGTTGTAATCCTTTTTTTATTTTAACAAATATTTTTATTATTACTCTTCAAAAAAGGAAAAAAAAAGCCGATCTTTGAAACCGATGGGGAGAAGCTTGTCTTTCAACGACAATTGTCTCAACGGTAAGGCTGGTTTGTCTACAGGGACGCATGATCTATGCTCCAATGGGTCCCCTATGGGGTGTAGCAATTCTGCCACTCAGGACAAGCCATTTGGCCATCTCAAGACTCCATCTTTTCCTTGGTGGAGTCATGTATGAGAATTTCAGGAGAGGATGTGGAAGGGATGGAGTTAAAGGTGGGAGGAGGAGTGGGGGATAGCAATAAATATCTAATTAAAAGCCCAGAATCCCTTTTCTTCCTTTTGCAACCACCCCACTACCAGATTTGAATCTCCCTCTATAATCTTGTGTTCATGTCATTTGCTTTTTGTAACCCATCCATGACAGCCATAACCTCATCCCTTAAGGAGTCGCCTACTCCAACTGGGCCTGAAAATAGTCCAATAATTCTGCCTTCACTATCTCTAAACATCCCTCCAATACCAAAAGGGACCCAGGCTACCTACACTACTCCCATCAAAATTCAGCTTGATGTAGTCAACCATTGGTGGAGACCAAGTAGGGCTTGTATTGGACTTGCATGTTGCAACAACCAAAGAACCACTCTCACCATGATGTTTCTATGACAGCCTAGATCATAGATCTTCATAAGATCTGTAAGTTAGCATGAACATACAGTTTCCCCTTCACATCAATGATATGGAGAATAGTCCTTACTACTTTTGAGCGGGTGAGGTGTTTAAGGGGTTGAAACCTTGGGGGTTGAGCAAAAGGAGGAAGATAGTGTGGAGACTGATCCCAATGGCTGTGTTCTGGTGTGTATGGGAGGAAAGAAATGCTCAGATATTTGATAACAGATCAGTCAATGATCAAGAGGTGCTAAGGAAAATTACAGGAAAGTCATGTCCCCAGTTCTACATACACAGGCAATTCAAAGGATTTAATCATAATAGTTTTCTTGATAAGGTTTCGTTGTCTCATTGTTAATTTCTTGCTAACATGAACTTTGTATTGGGCTGCATTTGGCATTCCTTATTTTAATGACTTATCTCCTTTTTGTGGTTAAAAACTCAGTGTTTATAGGGGGCATTATAACTGTAAAAAGGAGATAAGTGCTTAAAAATAAGGAATGCCAATTGCAGCCTTAGTCATTCAAAGGATTTAATCATAATAGTTTTCTTGATAAGGTTTCGTTGTCTCATTGTTAATTTCTTGCTAACATGAACTTTGTATTGGGCTGCATTTGGCATTCCTTATTTTAATGACTTATCTCCTTTTTGTGGTTAAAAACTCAGTGTTTATAGGGGGCATTATAACTGTAAAAAGGAGATAAGTMCTTAAAAATAAGGAATGCCAATTGCAGCCTTAGTCATTCTGGGAGTGTATATGGGCTATACCGCTATAGTTGTATCTTTTCTTGTCTTTTTCTTTTTTTAATGCAATACCTTACCTTTTCAAAAAAAAAAAAAAAAAAAAGTCTTCCATTCCAAGGCATAGCTTTTGCCACTCACTGGGTTAAGTTTGGTATAGAAAAATATATCATTAGCCCATGATTAGATTTTTTTAAGCCTTGAGGCAAGTCATTAACCCATAATTTAGTTATATATGCATAAACTTTCTAATCAATATCACTGAATTCGTTTCTAAAGTACATTGAATTTGACATTGCAGAAGGGAATCTATAACTGTTATACTTTCTAGTTACAAATTCAAAACTGCTCAGCTGCATTTGCCCAAAGTAAAATTGAAAATAGAATTATGAACAATACCACAAAACCATGTTTTCTATGGGACCAACCAACTTCCCCACATTTCTTCAAAAGTTCAAATCCGTTCCCTATATCACCCGCCTACTTCACTCGGTTTCTAGTTTTCCTAAGCAACGAACATTCTCCCTGCTACTAAACAGCAAGAACATAATCCTCTTAGCCGTAATAGACATGGATCAACACTAAAATATGTATATTCCAGATATAACCAAACAAAATCAATTCTACAGTTAATTTTGAACAGTTCAAGGTATCGCAGACCTTCAAAGATTCTCTCGAACTGTTAAAGTGAACATTTAAGCAAACATTGTAGGGCACAAAAGAGACAGACATTGCAAATGGGGTTCACAATAAATTAAAAGCCAAGAAAATATAGAGATATGGACCTGTTGCTTAACTCCTAAAGGAGAAGCAGTGATATATGAGACCTTCCAATCATAGTAAGCAAAAGGGTCGCCAGCGAAGACAAGAGTAAACAAACTGGGAAAGAAAAAGCATAAGAAAAAGAAGCAGAAGCCTATCAGCATCGGATCTCTCATCTCTCTTTCTCCTCTCTCAAATTTTTTGATTTCTCAGCTTCTTCTTCTTCCTAACGAGCAGAGCAGCCCTTTCCTGCGAGGAGTTTTGGAAATGCGTGCGTCACATGCGAGTACAGGAGACATGAGACAGCTACAGCCTACTGCTTGACGCTCTAAAACGAATTTACCGTTGTGGGTCCCGCGTTTTCTATGCTAGACAAGCAAAGCTCACTTTGTGAGTCAGAGAATGGGGACTGAGGGCGCCACCACCAGGAAAAGGTCATTGTACCGTTCACAGAGCTCTCGTAAGTGGAATCGAACCCCACCCACCAACCACACCGGTCTGGCTTTCAAAAAAACCTCCCGGCATTTAGGTAGAGGTGTAAAACGGGCGGCATGGCCCGCCTGCCGTGCTGTGCCGGCCCGCACAAAGTCCTAGGCCGTGCGGCCCTCTCCATGGATAATTTGGGGGTTGGCCCAGCATGGCCCAAGCCCATGTGGATCCATGCTTTGTCGCGGGCCTAGGTCGGGCGAGCTGCAAGCTATGTTGGGCTGGGCCACAAGCTAGGCCTTTTTGGGCATGGGCTGAATCAAGCCAATTTGTCTTTTTTACTTTTTTATTATTTTGTTAAGTAAAACTAAAATATTTAACTTTCATTTGGGAACTATTTGAACAAATAAGAAATCTAACAAAGAAATGAAAAAAAAAATACTTAACCAAATAAGAAGTCAAAGGGACAGACTCAAAGTGAATAACAAATTGGAAGAAAAATAGGAATTTTATTTCATTTAAATTTGAATGATACAAATGATACATTGGTTGGATGAATGAAATATGAAAATTGGAAAATGAAATAAATTAATAAAATATAAAAAATACAATATAGTTACAAATTGAAAATAAAAAACTACGTTATTGAAAAATATCAAATAAATTTTACAATAATTTGAAAAAAAATGTTATAGAACTATTGAGTATACAAAAAATATTGACTTCATCATTTTTTCCTATTGTTCTTGACTTTGATCATCTATTTCAGGTGAAACATCAGGTGTAGTGTCTTGCCCTCATTTGTCTTGTAATCTATCTTCAGCATCCAGCCAATTTTTAAAGTAGATTTACATCTCTAGACTTTCATCATTCACACAGCTTTTCTTGTCGTTCAACACCCTAGTACCTATACTAAAACAAGACTCCGATGGAACTGTAGACACTGGAGGGGTTAATAGATCACGTGCCATGGCGGCAAAAACTGGATAATTTTTTGCATATTCACTCCACCAGGCTAAAATATCAAAATTATTTGTTCCTTCCAAGGTAAAGGAAGAATCACCTAAAGTAGAAAAAATTTGCTTGTAAATAAAAATTAAGTTCAGTAAATGAACTTGTTGTCAAGGTAGTGGATTTTTGTCTCTTATTAAATAAAAAAGTTTTTCTCTTCCACTACTAGACACATGTTCAGAAGTGGAAGATATAGTTGTGCAAATTGTAGAACTTTTATTATTTCCTTTTACTTCAGATTTATATAAACTATATATTTCAAATAATAAACTATTATTTCTTCCTTTTTATTTCTAATTTCAATATTCATATTTTCACAATATGTTTCAAGTCAAATATCTAAACCATCTTTCCTAATCATAGAATCTAATATCGTAGATAAACAATAAAGAGGAGAAATGTTCTCCCAATATTTTTTAAAATTATTTTCCATTATTTCAACAATACTTTTAAATTGTGGATTCTTTTTATATTTTGCAAAACAATCACTAATCATCATTAGTTGATAAACTAAATTACAACTAGTTAGATAATAAATATGAAGGGATGAGATATCCATTGTATGGACGCCCGAATCTTGCGGAATAAAATGGGCGAATTTCAAAAATTTCTCTTCATCCTACTAGGAATCGTATTCCCTATTTTAGAAAAATCATATTTTTTAAGGATCAATCTTGAACCAAGAACCGAACCAGATCTGAACAAAAACAAGAGAAGAGGGATATACCTGATACGGAGAAATAGTTTCTCCCAATGGAGGAGTTCACGCCCAAGAAAGGAACCAAAAGCTGCTCCCACTGAAGATGGCGCAGTGCAGGGTGGAGTAGAATCAGCAGCATTCTTCACAAGAACCAGATCCTTCGCAAGAATCAGCTGGATGGCACGTGAGCACTACTTCCAATCAGCCATTTCACAAATGATTGATATCAAGATCCCATCTTGATCACTCATACTGATAAGAAGATATCGAACTGGCAAATATGGCGGCGGCAGGAAGGAGGTGGCAAGAGAGATTTAGCACAGTGATGCTGAATTATCTCTTCTGTGATTTCAGCTCTGAAGAGAGGATGTGAAATGTGTCAAAAGGCTGCCGCCCCCTCCTCCCTTTTATAACCTTAAAGGGATCAGCTCCTAATCCCATTAGGAGTTGTTGATCCAAATCATATTTGGATCAGAATTCCCTTTAAGTGATAAGGGTAAACCCTTATCTCATCTGCAGATTAGATCAGCATTCTCCTAATCTCATTAGGAAGTTTCAGATCTGAATCACATTTAGATTTGGACTCTCTGAGTGGATAGGGTTAAAACCCAATCCTATCTGCTAATCTAATCTCAGAATTCGCCCCTTATTTAACTGATCAAATCAGCACAGTTCGAATTAGGCTTTAGGCCCAATAAGGTTATGTGCTCACTTAGCCTTCCAAACTGCTGCCTAGTTGGGTTTCCTTGTATGGCGTGGGACCCAAACATTGATCTACACATTAGCCATGTGGGTTCAGCCCAGCCTTTGTTACAAGACCTGGCGAATACACTGTTATGGACAGTGCACCCCCTAAAACCCATCACATGGGCTCTATGGGCCCAACACTTACCCTAAGTGGTCCCTGGGCCAAACCACCTTGTAACACCCAGGGACTATGGGCAGATGCAAGATTAGCTCATCAGGTATTACCCTCAATGGCCTTACACTTAACCTCTCAGCCCATAATGATCAAACATTGCCCGACGAGAGAGGACCTCTCCCTCAGCTGCAAAGAACGGTGTTGCACTCTCCGCTCACATGGATCCCGGGAGTTAGAACCGTTTGCAAATGTTTGGAAACCATAATATATATACTTTTATATCTCATATAAAATATATTTTGCAAAACAAATCTCAACAATTGAAATCGGCTGCCGGCAGTTTACGTTTCCATCAGAGAGAGTGCATCCCCGATCATTACCTTTGTCTGACAAAGGGGCTGATCCTGTCACTATGATCACCCACTCAGATGAATTCTCA